AGGGACTGATACTGAAGCGGTTGTACTGGAATGGGGGTTGGAGTACGAACAGCTTGACTCTTGTCGGAGATGGCCGAGTTGCTATGTTGGGAAAGAGAGTGGTTAGAAAATTCATGGCTCTGTCTCCTCTCTTCCTGTCTGTCCCTCCCCTCAGCCGACTGGGTTTTCGCCAACATACTAAACAAATTCGTCTGTGGCACCCTCGGAGACCTTCCATTCGGCCGGCGAAATGGGGTGTTCCCAGTTGTATTGGTTGCTCTATTCTGAGTTTTCTTTAGAGCTCTTTCTCCCTCTTTTCTGGGCGGCTGCCTAGAGGTAGAAGCTCAGTTGCTCTCAAACTCCTTCCGAAGTTTGTTGAGTGCGGTCTGCAAGGAAGCAGCAGTAATAGGAGGATCATCAGCCTCTTGAAATGAGACGTTGGAGCTATTTAATGCTCTTTTTCTATAATGTCTTAATCCACCCCTCCCATCATAAATGATTGGGGTATTTATAGGGGTGGGAGATTGTGCCCCTTTAGGGTTTGTTCCCTAAAATTCTGTGACGTGATTGGCTGTGCAATCAGGCGGTGCCACGGGTATCTCTCGGGAAAGGGCCATGATGTAACAAGGCCCTTTTTAAGCTGATTTCAGGGGCTCTTTTGAGCCTTTGACACGCGTCATATTCCCATAGCGACACGTGCCGCCCTTTGGTTGGGCCACGTGTTGCTACGAGATTAGACCACGTATATGGGGTATTTTTACCCTAAATAGGAAACATCCCCAAAATCTATATACCCATTTAAAATACTACTCTCTCCATGCCACATTAAAAAAACAAATCACTAAATAGAGTTTTAGGAGATAAGCTGTGAGTAGATTTGATGGGAATTAATGTGGCATTTGTATAGAAATTCTAACCGAAAAGTGGGTGTGGAAAGGAAATAGTGGGTCCAAAAGTAATGTAAGAGATATTTACTCTATTCTTTTTTAGTTGATGTTTTGACTTTTGACACTCTTCACAAACTCTATTTTGCCTTTTGTGATTTATGGTTTTTTTTAAAAAAAAAATTAAAAAATAAGAAAGAGTTATATAGGATCTTATTAGAATTGTCACAATGTATATTTCATCATATTAACTTTTTATTATTTTAACTTATTGTCTGATTTACGGAGTATAACTGAAAAAGAACTAGGGCTGGCAAAAGCTGACCCCACCCGAAAACCCGACCTGAAAAAAACAGGTTAGGGTTGAGGTTTTTGACCAGAAAACTTAAATGGGTTGACATGAACCCGAACCCGAAATTAAATGGGTTAGGTTAAGGTTGAAAATCTCAACCCGAAAACAACCCACTTAACCCGAAATTATTTTCGTGTCATAATCAGGTCGGGTCAACCCGAACCTGATAACCCGAATTGTATAAGATAGATATGTAGTCCAAAAATAAAAACAAAAATAAAATATCTAAACACACCAAATAAAATTTGGCCCAAGCCCATGTAATATCTTAAAGTAGACTAATACCCTAAAATCCTAAATGCCTACTTCACTTTTTCTCACACCTGTGCTCAGCCGTTTTCAACTTCCTTCCTCATATTTCAATTTTCTCTCTCTTTAACTCTCTTCTTAACATTTAAAACCCTCAAATCCTCGGTGAGTTTTTCAGCTTCTATCTTCAGATCTTCATCATTTTTTGCGTTCAACCTTTAAGGTAATTTCTTCATTTCAGTTTTTGTTTTATATGGTTTTTTTTCTTTTTAAATTTGGTTTTGCTTTTAGATCTTTGTTCTTATTGTTGTTGTTCTTGTTTGATTTTATTGTGGTTGATTTGTTATACAGTGATATAATTATACGATTTTGCTAAATTATATGGTCTTGTTCATATTTGTTTTTGAGGGAACTATGTTCTTGTTCATATAATTTCTGATTAGATTGTTGTTTGGGTAAACAATTTCACCCTTTATATTTGCTTTTAGATCTCTGTTGTTGTTCTTGTTTTGCATGTTTATTATTGTTTGTCGTCTTGTTCATATAATTTGTTTTCGACCCTTTAACATGTATTATTGATGTTAACTTGCTTTCATTTTTCATTTTTTTGCAGCAAATATATATAGATCTATCTTGAAGTTTGAAAGGCTAAAAGGGATGACAAGCCTTGACATACATCGTCCCAAGAACTATGTTATATGAAGTCTGCTTAAAACTATTTGTTGCTTTTGAATTCTAATTTGTAATTTAGTAGTAGATTTTATTTTGGCATGTAATAGTTAATTATGCTAGTTTCATTATATATTTGGAAATTTTGATTTTTACCACCTTCAAATAACCACTTAATTGAATTTACCACCTCCAAAAAAAAAAAATTTACTTTACCACCACAAAAATTTCCAAAAATTCGATTTTAGTACCAACTACTGGATTCCGTCCATGAATTCGTTAGTAGGGCCCACATTTTTTACGTTTCTTCTTCATCTCCCCGATCTTCCATGTCAACCAACCAGCAACGAAATCAACTACCTCGGTTGGTCGGAATTTCATGAGGGTTTCGCGTGTGGGAAGTGGTGGTTTCGGGTCGCGATAGTTTCGCTTCTGGGTGGCGTAGTTTCTGGTTAGGCTGGCTGGGGTGGATTGCGATGGTTTCGCGTCTGGGCGGTGGTGGTTCCGGGTCGCAGTGGTTTCGCGTATGGGTGGCGGTGGTTTCTGGTCTGGGTTTAGATGGTGGTGGGGTTGGTCGTAGCTGTTAGGTGGTGGCTAGGGTTTTGAGGTCGGAAATTGGTGGAAAGGAGTAGAAATCGGTGCGGTTGTGGTGTGCGATGCGGTGGTAGCGGTTAAGTGGTGGGGTTGGTCGTAGCTATTAGGTGGTGGCTACAGTTTTGAGGTCAGAAATAGGTGAAAAGGGGTCGAAATCGGCGCGACTGTGGTGTGCGGTGCGGTGGTAGCGGTCATGTGGTGGGGTTGGTCGTAGTTGTTAGGTGGTGGCTAGGGTTTTGAGGTCGAAATCGGTGCGGTGGTTGTGGGTCCCGATGGTGGCTGGTAGCAGTTAGGTGGTGGGGGCTGGTCGTAACGGTTAGGTGGTGGGGGCTGGTCGTAACGGTTAGGTGGTGGGGCTGGTCGTAGCCGGTCCGGCGGTGGGGGTCCCCACGGTGGTGGTTGCTTGATGGGGATTTTTTTAATTTTTTTTTGTTTTTTTTTATTTTTTTTTAAAACTTACCCAATAATATGGCGACACGTGTGCAAGGTAGGCCCCACTAACGGATTTTTGGACGGAATCCGTTAGTTGGAGGTGATTGGTGGTAAAACTGATGTTTAAATTTTTTATGTGGTGGTAAAGTAAATGTTTTTTTTGGAGAAGTCGTTATTTGAAGGTGGTAAAAATCAAAATTTCCTATATACTACTTCCGTTAACGGTTATTTGCAACATTTGCAAAAAACAGGTGCTATATATTATGTGCAACAAACTGATTTTTTTCCTCTTTTGATAAGTTTTTTTGTTTGAAATGACCAAACTGCCCTCACTTAACCAACTTACTCCTTTAATTATTTCATTAACTATACTCTATTATAACCCTAACTTAACTCATCTAATCTTCTAAAGAAAAAAAATCAAATCTGTAAAAAAACCAAACCTCTCAACATTCATCTAGTTCATCACATTTCTCACTCCTCATTCATCATCATATTCATCAAAATCTCACTCACCCTTCGTGGTTCATCAACAAAATTTCTCTTTCCTCCTTCATCATCAAAATCTCTCTCCTCCACCATCAAAATCTCACTCCTCCTTCATCATCCCCATCTTCCATGGAGATCTAAAATTGGAGGTGGTTTTTGCGGCACGAGTATCGTGGATATGGTGGTCAAGGTTTTGTGGGTTTCGTGGGTGGGTCTAAGTGTCGGGGGTCTAGGTGGTGTTGAAGCTTTCGTAGGTGTTGTGGGTGGTCTAGGTGGTGTTGGGTTTTATGGTGGTAGTTGGGATTAATTCAATTCGTGGTGGTGGTGGTTGGGATTAATTCAATTCGTGGGGGGAAGGGGGTGGTTTGATTGGGGATTTCGTGGTTTTGGTGGTTGTTTTCAGTGGGTTTGGTGGTTGTTTTCGATAAGTTATAGTGGTGGTTTTCAGTGGTGGATTTTGGTGGTTTTCAATGGGTTTTGATGGTGGTTTTCTGGGTGTTGGTGGTATTCGGTAGTGGTGGGTTCAGTAGGTTTGTTGGTGGTGGTTTTCGGTGGGTTCTGGGTGTCGGTGGTGGTGGTTTTCGGTGGGTTCTGGGTTTCGGTGGTGGTGGTTTTGGTGGGTTCTGGGTTTCAGTGGTGGTGGTGAATCTGGGTTCTGAGTTTGGTGGTTTATTGATTTTGGTTAATTGTGGTTTTTTAAAAATTAGATTAATACTTAAGTACTACCCTTGTATTTCAATAATCACGTTTTAAAACTTTCGCCTAGGAGTCCGCGCATGTCCCTTTCGTTGCAAATAACTGTTAACGGAGGTAGTATTTCTATGTTTTGCTTGAGAATATTAGTTTGAAAAATGAAAATATCCATGTTTTTTTCCAATAAAATTAATGTTGTTTAGGCCAATATTAGGTAAAAAAACCAGATTTAAACCCAGACAAAAATATCGGGTTAAACCAGATTACTTTCAAGTTTACCCAAACACAATTAATTTCAGGTCAAAACCTGATTTGAACTCAAAAATATTAAAATCAGGTCTAATCAGGTTATTTTCGCGTTGACCCGAACCCAAAAATATCAGGTTCAGGTTGGGGTTTTCAACCCGAATACTTAAATGGATCAGGTTCGGGTTGGGGGGTAGATTACCCGAAATCAACTGACCCGAACCCAAACCCGAACCCGACCTGATCTGTTTGACAGCCCTAAAAAGAACGGAAAAAATATTATATAAATGGTAGGACCAGTTCAAGAAAGGAAGTGTCCAAACTATTTTTGGGGCCGATGAAAATCAAGAGTATTCAAACTATTCTAGGATGGAGTATAAAAAAGTACTATAAGCAAAAAATGAGCTACACACCTCTTTTAATTCCATGAAACCACTCTGGCAAAGGTAGCCCCAGCAAGCATTCCTAACTCTTTCCCCATGTATGCCATAGTCTTGATGTTCTGCGAACACCTGTCATGATAGTATAATTAAGAATAGAGAAGCACAAAAGATATTGAAAAAATAACCCAAAAAGTATCTCAAACCTGATAGGCTAAGAAATTTGAAGTCCACAGCTCAGCGATGATAAAGTCAGTACAAATAGCACACAATTCCTGCAAATTCAAGCTTTAAGAGACAGGTACTGATAACTTTATTTTAAGATAGGATATATGTTAAGATAGAATTGCATAAAAGTGTGCAACACAAAGATTATCACAATGTCATTAAACATGGAAAAGGTAGATTGGGGAACTTATGAAGGTTAAAGTTATTAACTACCATGAAAAGTAAGATACCTGGAGATCAAGAAAGGATGCCGCAGCAAGAACACGGAATGCATTATTGTCATTAAGCTTAGGGTGATGACCATAAAGGTATGCCAATGAAATAGCAATGGCCTCCGCATTAACATTTGGATCATCTATCTGCAAACTTAAGACGGGGGCAGATGCTTCTTTCCAAGGACCATGAAGCATATTCCTGACAAGCAGTTGTGTAATAAGATAGAAGTTTTCATTAACTATCCAACATAAATTATAAGCATAGAAGCCATAAACAGTTCAAGAAAAATGAAAACAACTTCAGGCAACATTCAATTCTTCCTTTGTTCTGTTTCTCTTATTCTCATTATGTGATATTTAGCACATCTTTAGCACAAAAAAAAGGTCAAATTTACATCATCAGAAAATTTTATCAATAACCTAAGATAACCAGCAGTATAATCTCTATTTCTGTTAATGTAAAAGAGAAGCTAAAATCTGAACTATAGCAACCACTTCTTTAAATCAATTCCTTACATTTCTACCCATGGTCACTTGTTTGACTTGCATAAATCATTCCACACAAAAGTAATTGACAGGCTCTACATTGATCAGATTCTTCATTATACCTCAAGTATCTGATAATTCACTTTGGGTCAACATCATAAATATTTTTCACAGATAAATTGAGTACTTGAGTCCGACCAAAAGAGGAAAATCTGGCGCTATGCTATACCAGAGTTGAACACTTGGGGGGAAAGGATCACATATACAAAGGGCTAGAAGGGGAAGTGCTAAATTCATTTCCCTTTCACAAACGGAAACTTATAGCACATTATTAGCGCCATAGCAAGGGTTTGAAAATCAATTTTTTAAAACAACTATATATGAAGAATTCTCATGTCATGGCAAAGCAAAACAAGTAAAGTAAAGTAAAGTTTGTCTAACTTAAGCCCACAGATCACATAAAACATAGGACAGTCAGATATGGATACACTATATCAGGCAATAACTTTGACAATTAAACTGTATATTGCAACTATTAGCTATGTAATTATTATGATGCATTTACTATCTTGTCTATAGTCCTTCCCTAGGTTTATGTATATTTCCCTATGTAATTTGTAAATAAACGAATGCAATGATAATGGAAAGGCAGGCAGTATATTCCTACATGGTATCAGACAGCTAGGTTTAGGTTCTCATCTTCTTCTTTGTCTCTTCATCTTCCAATCCCCTTCTTCCCTCGTCTCTGCCATGGCAACCGATCCAAATCCCCCCAAATCCTCTGCCTTTCACCCAGCTATTGCTTTTAGTAATATCAAAAGCCTCATTCCTATTACTCTCCAAATGAAAAACGCACAATACTCCTCATGGGCCGAGCTTTTCAAAATCCAAGCTCATGCCTACGACCTTCTTGACCACATCATCCCTCTGGAAGAAAAAGACGATACCATTGATGCCGCCGTTTGGTCTCGTCTTGATGCCATTGTTTTACAATGGATTTATGGCACCATCTCCAACGATCTCATGAACACAATTTTGGAACCTAATGCTACTGCTTAACAAGCATGGAATCGATTGATCTTTCAAGACAACAAAGGTCAGCGTGCAGCGTGCTGTGCAATTGGAAGGCCTTCTCTCATCTATTGAATTGAAAATTTTCTCCAATATCTCCTCCTACTGTCAAGAAGTCAAAATGATTGCAGACCAACTCACAAACGTTGGTGCTCCAGTCAACAACCAACGTCTTGTCCTCACTCTCATCCGCGGCCTCCCAAAGTCGTATGATGGAATTGCTTCTATTCTACAACAAACTATCACCGCCGGCTCCACCTTACTCGCCGCCGGAAACGAGTCTGCTTCCTACCATGATGATGAAACCACCTCAATTGATACAAAATTCCTCCCGCTCCCATAATCGCGGAAACAGGGGCAATACCCACAACAACCGCGGTGGCCGGAACCGTGGCGGGGGTGGTCGCGGTCGCGGGCGGCACAACCACAACAACAACCGCAACAACCACCAGCACCATCGGGGCCCCAATTGACAGCAATCTCAACAACAGTGGGCAAATTGGCAGCAATATCCTCCATGGACCCCGTGGGCAGCCACAATGGGCTATGTTGCCTTGCCCCTATCCAACAACGCCTTGGGCTCGATGAGCTGGGCCTCGTCAGCAAGGAGTTCTTGGTCCAAGGCCTCACCAGCCACAACAGGCCTACTCGGTTCAAGCCCCCTCCTCTTATGCTCCAACCGACATAGCTATGCACACGCTCTCCCTCACTCCACCGGATGATGGGTGGTACATGGACACCGGCGCCACCTCCCACATGACGTCTCAATCAGGTACTCTCTCGTCTTACGTTAATTTGAGCAATCAACGTAATATTATTGTTGGTAATGGACATGGTATTCCAATTCGTGGTGTTGGTTGCACTTCTCTTCCCTCCCCACATCTTCCCTTCCTCCTAAATGATGTTCTTCATGCCCCTAAACTAATTAAGAATCTGATTTCGGTCAGAAAATTCACTCATGATAATTGGGTTTCCATGGAATTTGACACGTTTGGTTTTTCAGTGAAGGACCACCGGACGGGAACCACCCTTATGCGATGTGATAGCACCGGTGATCTTTACCCTCTCTCCACCGTCTCCACTCACGCCTCTCCTCCTTCGACATTTGCTGCCCTTTCTCCCTCCCTTTGGCACGCAAGGCTTGGACACCCCGGAGCTAATATTTTGAGTTCCTTAAAAAGGAACAATTTTGTCACTAGTAATAGAATTTTAGACTCCACTTTTTGTCCTTCTTGTCCCCTTGGCAAGCATGTTAGGCTGCCATTTTATGATTCTAATTCTAGCACTTGTTTACCTTTTGATTTAGTCCATAGTGATCTTTGGACGTCTCCTAAACTAAGCACCGCGGACCATCTTTATTATGTGCTATTTTTGGATGATTTTAGCAATTTTTTGTGGACTTTTCTTATATGCAAAAAAATCTCAAGTTTACTCCCATTTTTTGCAATTTCGTGCTCATGCTAAAACTCAATTTGAAAGGGAAATAAAGTGTTTTCAATGTGACAATGGGAAAGAATATGATAATGAGCCCTTCCGTACTTTTTGTACACAAAATGGTATGGTATTTCGTTTTTCTTGCCCACACACATCCTCTCAAAATGGCAAAGCCGAAAGAAAAATTCGCACAATAAATAATATGATCCGTACTCTACTTGCTCACTCCTCTATGCCTCCTTCCTTTTGGCACCATGCCTTACAAATGGCGACCTACCTTCATAATATTCTTCCCTCCAAAACCATTGATTTCAACTCTCCCACTAAAATTCTTTATCACAAGGATCCCTCTTACTCCCATCTTAGAGTCTTTGGTTGTCTTTGCTATCCTTTATTTCCCTCCACCACCATCAACAAACTACAAGCCCGTTGTACCCCTTGTGTGTTTCCTGGTTACCCTCCTAACCATCGTGGATACAAGTACTATGATATGTCGACTAATAAAATTTTTATTTCCCGACATGTAATATTTGATGAAACACAATTCCCCTTTGCCAAAATCCATACTCCAACAACTCACACCTATGAGTTCTTAGATCATGGTTTATCTCCTGCCATTTTGCATCACATAAGCTCCACCCCTACAGTCTAAACCCAAAACCACATTCAGGCCCACATCCCCTCTCCAACTCATGTGGCCCAAACCACACCCCAAAATCAAAACACTCCTCCTATCCAAGCTACAGCGACTGGCCTCTTTCCCCCTCTCAAAGCCCAACTCCTCCCTTATCTCCGCCCGAGCCAGTAACACTACTCAACCCACCCCTTCACTGCCGTTTTCACCACAAATGCAAACCCGCAGCTCTCACGGCATATTTAAACCCAAACGCCCCTTTAACCTCGACGCCTCCTCTTCTCCTTCTCCTCTTCCTCACAACCCCATTGCTGCCCTCTCGGACACGAATTGGAAAAATGTCATGTTTGATGAGTACAATGCTCTTATTAATACTAAGACGTGGGAGTTGGTGCCCCGCCCTCCTAATGTGAATGTTATACCTTGAATGTGGCTTTACCGCCACAAGAAAAATGCTAATGGTGATTTTGAGCGACACAAAGCTCGTCTTGTTGTCAATGGCAGGAACCAAAAGGTGGGAGTCGATTGTGATGAGACTTTTAGCCCCGTGGTTAAATCGGCGACCATCCGCACCGTCCTAAGCATTGCTCTATCCAAATCTTGGCCAATACATCAAATGGATGTCAAAAATGCTTTTTTGAATGGTGTCTTGATGAGACGGTCTATATGCATCAACCTCCCGGTTTTTGTGACAAAAGTAACCCGTCTCATGTGTGCCTTCTCAAAAAGGCCCTATACGGTCTCAAACAAGTTCTCCGGGCTTGGTACCGTCGATTTGCAAATTTTATCTCCACCATTGGCTTTATTCACAGTAAATCGGACCACTCTCTATTTATCTACTGCCATGGTAAGCAAGTTGCTTATATTTTTCTCTACGTCAACGACATAATTCTAACAGCATCTTCTAAGAGTCTTCGCAAGTCCATCATGGCAAAATTGAAATCGGAATTCGAAATGAAGGATCACGGTCTATTAAATCCCTTTCTTGGTATTTCGGTTACTCATCACTCTCATGGTCTCTTCTTGTCTCAACAATCCTATGCCGAAGACATCATCGCCAGAGCTAATATGTCATCTTGCAAACCTTCGGCAACCCCGGTTGATTCTAAATCCAAATTGAGCGCCAACTCCGGACCTCCGGCCTCTGATCCGACTCTCTACCGTAGCCTTGCCGGCGCTCTTCAATACCTCACCTTCACTCGACCCGACATATCATATGCCGTCCAACAAGTTTGCTTGTTTATGCATGATTCTCGTCAAGAGCATATGCAAGCCCTTCGACGGATAATCCGATATTTACATGGCACTCTCAAGCTTGGGCTCCATCTCTATCCTTCTTCTCTTTCGGGGCTAACATCGTACACCGACGCGGACTGGGGTGGCTGCCCAGACACGCGCCGCTACACCTCGGGGTACTGTGTTTTTCTCGGCGACAACCTTATTTCGTGGTCCACAAAACGACAGCCGACCTTATCCCGCTCTAGTGCCGAAGCAGAGTACCGCGGTGTAGCTAATGTAGTTGTCGAATCCTGCTGGTTGCGCAACCTCTTATTGGAACTTCGATGTCCTATCCAAAAGGCCACGATAGTCTACTGTGATAATGTGAGTGTTGTGTACTTAACAGGGAACCCGGTTCAACATCAAAGGACTAAGCACATCGAAATGGACATTCACTTTGTCCGAGAAAAGGTGAGCCGTGGCCAGGTTCGTGTGCTTCATGTCCCATCTCGCTACCAAATAGCCGACATTTTCACCTGCCGCATATCCTCTTTGAAGAATTCCGTTCCAGCCTTAGCGTTCGATTACCTCCCTCTACGACTGCGGGGGTGTATTAGCTATGTAATTATTATGATGCATTTACTATCTTGTCTATAGTCCTTCCCTAGGTTCATGTATATTTCCCTAGGTAATTTGTATATAAACGAATGCAATGATAATGGAAAGGCAGGCAGTATATTCCTACAGCAACATTAGCCATAACGGAGGTTTAATTGGCATATAAGCTAGTTGATTGTTCGGTATTAAACAACCATCAACATCATCATCAATGAGTTATAGCTAAAATCTCCAAATCAAATCAAGCTTACATCCAAATTCATGTAAGTCAACATCTATATGATTGTGTGTCTCCAATTTTACAACATAGCATATCAATCACCTACTTCTTGCCCTCTCACCGTATATCATAGTTATTGAAATTTTTATCAAGCGCCCCGACCACCTCAAAATACGAAAAAAAAAAATTGACGATTCCAATACAAAACATTCTCCAAAATTTAAATGCAAAAGTACGAAAATTGCAAAAGTAGGCATAAAAAGGGAAATATGAAACCTGAAATAAGAGCTGCGAGAAAGAATCAAGCGATGAAGATGATATGTAGAGTCCATAGCATTAACAACAATATCGGAGAAAACGCCATTGTTAAAACCCTCCAATTGAATGTGATCACACAAAGAGGCGAGATTACAATCGACAGCACGCAATTCGACGCTGCTCCGGTCACTAACTGATTGCTGCTGCTGCGGCTGAGGTTGCGATATCGGAAGCGACATAGAATGATGATGATGGTGCTGCTGCTGCTGTTGGTGTTGGGTGAACGAATAACAACGATTTCTTATTGATGAGTGGGATTGCTGCTGGTGGTGGGGTTGGTGATGCTGGTCCGCCATTGGTTATGGTGAGAGCATGAAAATCAGCGCCATTGTTGTCTCTGTAGGAATTTCGAGAGGGAGAGAAAGTGATTCGGTTTTTTTTTTTTTTTTTTTTTAAAGGGGATTCGGGGTTATTTTCGGTGGAACTGATATGATTTCATTAATGACAGTAGTGTAGGAAAATTCGGGTGATTGTCTTAGGAAAAAAAAATTGTCAGAAACTATCCGCATAATAGGTCATTTTGTGAACAACTACTCGCTTAAAATTTTTATCAAAAAAATTACCCACTGAATTTACATTACCCAGTTTGGTTTTCCAGCAACAAAATCCGGCGAGGTTCACTTTTGTTTTTTCTTCCAAAATTTAAACATGAAATGATGAATCAATCAATTAAGAAGCCAAAATAAGTGAATTTAACATCAATTTAGAAGCATTACATATTTCTTAATTAAAATCACAATTACTTTCGCCCTCTTAAATTAGGGAGATATTGTAAATTTTGTGCTTCTAAGGTGAGTCGTTGTAAAGGAGATTAGGTTGGTTGTTAATATGAGGTTTAAGCTTAAGTTTTGGAAGGAAAAAAAAATAAAATTCGGCCACATTTGCCAGATTTTGTTGCCGGAGAACTAAAATGGGTATTGCTACTCAAACTTTTTTAAATTTAGTGGGTAATTTTTTTATAAAAATTTTAAGCGAGTAGTTGTTGACAAAGGTGGGTAGTTCTTGACAATTTTTCCCGTAAAAAATTACAAGGATTTCAAAAAGGGAATAAAAAAGCTTTTAGATACTCCAATAATTTTGGTGTATACTTGTTATGGTCAATTACCAGTTGTTTTGGGTGTTTTTTTCCCTCGGGAGAGTTATACCTCGAAGATTGGTTGAGAAGCGTCTGTACCTGCAAAACAACGGAGACTCCGAGTGGTTGGAGCTCCGCCTCCAACGATCAAGTTAGAACGTGATGGACTAAGTAAAAAGTGCGGAAAAAAATAAAGGTGAGATCTTCTCCGATTTTGAGATCAGGAGATTTCTCTGTTGTAAGAGAATGTCAGTGATATTGTAATAAATTCAATCTGTCCTACAAATGGGGGGAATCTTTCTATTTATAGGGTCATTTTGGATAAAGTGTGCCCTTACGTAGGTCATTTGACCTAGATTTGATGAGCTGCCCGCACTTTTGGTGGTTTTTCGGGAATTGAGCCTTTGAAAGCCGTCATTCCTTTTGATGACAGTGGATTCCACATGTCATTTCGTAAATGGACAAATTTAGCCCAATATACGGTGGACACGTGTCCTATTCTCATTGGACCACGTGGCGGGGTAATTTTACCCAAAACATTTGCCCCTCACAGATGTGATGTGGCGAGCCACGTGGCATCTGTGACACTTGTCACTCATCTATTGATGGAACAGTAATTATTGTTCACCTTTTGGGGAATTTACCATGATGGCCCTGGAATTACCCCTCTATAAATAGAAACTTTGCCCCTCTCTTTTTCGCTCATTTACGAAAAAATCTGAGAGAATCTTTGACTTTTCTTTTAAAAAACGCTTTCGCCTGCCGCTTGCTATTTGCCGCCTGACCCAGTCGACTTAATCAACTTCCAGTAGTACCTCTTTCAGGTAATCGCCTGCTCTTTCTCTCTCTTTTCAGTTTCCTTTCATTTCGCCTGTGTTTGTTTCTTTAAAAATGGTATCACAAACACACTAGGCACGGCCTAGGATAGCTGTCAGCTGGTCACTTGGGACGGCTGAATCTAGAACTAGGGTTGTCGCCTGTCCTAAACTGGTCTCGCCAACGAATCCGTTGATCTGTGTCTATGCAGGACACTATGGCTAGAACAAAAAGGACAGCCCGACGACCTAATGATGAAGAGGACGGAAGTCCTATCAGGGTACCCAGGAGCGAGGTTTCTTACTACCCATCCAGCGTCCCAATGACGCTGAATGACTCGATTCTGGGTGGACAAGAAAATGATTCCAGCGAGGAGGCATTCGGCTCTAAAGAGGGATCATCTCAGTCGCACTACTACAAAACCCATGTAATCTCGACACTATAGCCTCGATACTATGGAAGACCGTCAACAAAAAAATAATTCGCGCCTCACTCGACGGTTTTTTTGTGTCGTAAACATGGATTGACAATTAAAAGTGTCGAATTATCACGTGGCCCTCATGGGATAAAGAGGCCCGGTAATCTCAAGCCCATGAAATGAAATTTTAGGCGGATAAACAAACTCGCTCAATTGAAAGTTGCAGCAAAAAAAAAAAACGAAAAAAAAAAAAAAATTAAAACAAAACTCACGCACTAAAACTCTCACAAAATCATCAGTTTCCTCTCCTCTAGCTAGTTAACTTTTGAGCCCTAACTTTACCCTCTCTTTTGATTTCATTATTCACTTCTACAAACAATTGCTTCCAATCGCTCATCCAAGTTCTGATCTTTTGAAGGTATTGAAGGCGTCGTTCGAAGTGCGCCTACGTTAAAGCATGTGTGAATATGCTTGTCACTCATAGGAAGTAGGAATTGACATAATACAATTAGGGACAAGGAAAGTAGGGAGCCGCCAACAAGTTTTTAAGGAACTTGTAAACCGTTCACGTATCATAAAAGGCAACCACGATAAAGGGACAACGATAGACAACAACGATTGACCCGTGAAGGTTACACCCCATTCATAATCCATGAGATTACTAAATCCATATGGTTCGGAACCACAAAAGGAGGATCGGGGATGATGGTACGAAGTGAGTCATGGAGTCACATTTGCCCGTATTGGCCTCTACTCGATTCTTATAGTGAAAAGTAATTCATGCGATTTCAAAGGCATGCAAACAAAGATTCAATTTACTCCAAACTATTTTAATGCTAAATTGGTTGAATATTAATTCAACATATAATTCTAAAATATTTGTGATCACTTGATTAAATAACAAGATTAAAAGGGAACCTAAACCGGTTGTCCAAATTATCTTATTAAGCGTGATTTTCAATTACATATTCCCTTTAAACATGCAATATGGTGATCGATCAAATAGAATAAACATCAATATTGGAAGCAATTCAACAATAATAGCGTTAGTCAAATCAAATATAAAATAACTTAATCATGATACTAGCAAAAAGAAAATAAAATAAAATTAATTAATTACTCACATTCCGCGCGTTCCTTTAAATTGCTACATCATGAATAAACTGTTAGAAACTTCAATAAAAAATATAAAGCAAATAGAAATTAAATTAAATTAAATAAAAAAGTAGAGTGAATTTGGTCCAAACCCTCAGTTATTTGTACCTTTCACGTCTTGGTTTAAGGACGGAACCTCGGGTGTTGTATGGACTCCTTGGAGTGCTTAAGGGAAGAATTATGTAATTAGGAATATAGGTTTAAAGCTTAGAATATGAGAGAAAGAGAAGAGAATAATTTTTGGTGTAAAAGAGAGAAAGAGAGAAGGATTTGATGCCCCGAACTACAGAGATGAGGGTCTTATTTATAGGGAAATTGAGTAGAGGGAACACGCGGAACCCTAAAAAGATAAAAACCCTAAAAATTAACACCGCGACACGGCAGAAAACACCGTGACACGGTGCCAGGCACCGTCAGACGGGGGAAAATCTCGTGACGCGGTGGACAACTGGAGTTACACGGGAAATATTTGACCTACGGGAAGTGAAAACGCGTGAAGGGTTTACGCGAAAAAGACACGAGAAAATTCCGTGACACGGTAGTGTCCACTGTAGCACGGTACAGTACACCGTGTCACGGTATGGGAAAATACGGAAATTACAAGGAAAGAGCACGGTGAGAAATACCGTGTCATGGCAGCAGGTACCGTGTTACGGCAACAAGTACCGTGCCACGGTGGAATTTAACGCGAAAAAGCTTCAAAAATGGCACTGTGACACGATGTACAGTACCGTGTCATGGCACTAGGCACCGTCAGACGAGGGAAGGCACCGTTATACGGGGCACACTCCCGTGACACGGTGCTTTTGTACTGTGCGCGGTGATTCCAGTTTTTTACCCATTTTTAAAATCATCATAACTTTTGATCCGTAACTTGGAATAAGGCGTATAATATATCATTGGAAAGCTTATCAAGTCTAATTTCTAACCCAATTAGAATAAAGTAAAAATAATTTTTATATTTTAAGATATGGACGTTTTAGTGGAAGGGTGTTGGTTTTGGGCCGAGTTTAGTGTTTTGCTCATATCTTTTTCGTTATAGCTCGGAATTGGGCTTATGATATATGATTGAAAAGCTTATTAAAATGCCTATCTAATCAAATAATAGTTGGATCAAAATAAAAATATCCGTAAAATCAGTTCCGCTCGGTTTTGTGATGTGGACACGAAAAGTGGAAAATAGGTTATGGTTTAGGGAAATGAGCTAGAAATTGGATTGGTTCATGAAATATATTGGATAGAACATGGATTTAAGAACTCCAAATATTAAATACTCAACCCGACCAATAATGGCGGTGAAAGGTGTTCATTATCGGGTTTGATTTTGGGGTGACATTTTTAGGTGTCTACAGGTATGTGTTTTTTTATTAACATTTAATTATCGTGTAAATTAAATTGGTTTTAGGGTTTAACTTATGATTAGTGTAATTAATTACGAAATTTGCTGTTAAATACGAGTTTGAATCATGGTTAAATTACAAATTACATTTACAAATTAGCTAAATATTTAGATTTGTTCCTTCCCTTTAATTTTCCAGTTTATGAATTGTCAGTTTTCAAAGATGAATGAAATTAACATAGGTCGTCATGAATTTCCAGTTTTTTCATCTCAATTGCCCTTCAAATTATCAGTTTGCATTTAGAGTAATTTGTTAATCAATTTCGAATTTCATGACCCATAATCAATTATTGGGGTTAATTGCAATATAATTGAATGTTTGTCACTTTCGAATTTTATGACCCATAATCAATTATTTAGGGTAATTTGTTATTTAGATATATACTGGTCATGTTGCTTACAATTCTTTTTCAAAGCCCTTAAGTGTCCAGAGAAGAGAATTTGTTAGGCGGTATTTATTTTAGTGTGTTTTGTGTCTGCCTAAAATGATTATAAATTGGCTTTGTGTGTGTGTGTTTTTTTTTTCAATCTGTTTTTTTTTTTTACATAGTTCAATATTTGAGTAAATTAATTTATTTTGTTCTCTGGCTCTTCAAATGTTAAACTAAGTGAAATCGGCTGTTGGGCACAAAGTGAAGGGGACAACAACAAACAAGATCATCTTAGTAACAAGTAGGATTAGGCTTGAATCACACTTGTACTCTTCCAGTTGATTCAGGTAACTACTAATAACCTTTAAGACTTATAATTCAATGTATATGTCTATGGATGCATAATATGATATTTTGAATTCATATGCCTTCTCATG